TGTAAGTTGAAGAAGGTAGAATTTTTTACAATGTAGCTGAAAAAAGTTTAAGTTTGTATATCTTTTTTTCAGTTAATGTTTATCTTATTTCAAGTAACATTTTTGTTTATTGTTCTAGGTTTAGATTTTTTATAATAGCCCTGGAACACAAATCAGCCAGCAAGGGTCCTGATCATAGACTGTATAAAAACATGGACGTAGTGTCCGTGACGTCACCCGTAGGTTCCTGAAGAGCGTTTTTGAAGCTCAAAGTGGGCAGAGCCGGCCGTCACCATCTTGGCAGCGCGTCACTCCCGGATAATCGAAAATGGGCAAAAAGGCGGGAGCTGGTTGCTGAAACCACGCCCAACTAGCTCGACGGTGGTGACAGCAGCGGCAATCCACCTGTCACTCAAGTGACCACGCCCTTAATTATGCAGAACTTTAAGGCTTAATATAATTTAAATGGATGACTTATAAAAAAATTCACCGCCCTCACAGTTGTCATGAAGGGCAAAATTAGCTATATAGACCAAAATCATTTTTTGAACCAGGCTGTAAACATGTTTTTTTCTGCTGTAAAGTTGGGCATTTTAACATGGGGAGTCTATGGGATTGACTCCCTTTTGCAGTCAGCCTCTAGCGGCCAGTTGACGAATTACAGTTTAAGTCACTTCCTTGTTGGCTTCCCAAGAGAGAGTGGGAGGTTGCCGCTTGGTCCTGATTCACTAACCCAACTAAACTTTGCAGGAAAGCAGCTCAACAAAGAATGAGGAACTCTGCACTAAAATATTCATACATGTAACTGATGTCTAAATTTCCTACAACATTAATCAAAACATCACTGGTATTTATCAACAACACAACAACATTGTGATTTTAACATGGGACAGCCCTAGAAATGACAAATCTATTTACAGTACGCTAACTACAGAAATAGCGAGCTGAATGAGACACATCCTATATCTGTAGGGCCCTATAAATTTGCTACACACATAGTGAAGTACGCGTGACGCTTGCTGTGTTTTCAGCCTCTGCCGCCTCAATATATGAGTATGAACATAATCTCCAGAACTGCTCTGAGAGTCACTTTATGAGCATTTTACCATTTCATTTGAGAAAAACTATCATCATATCATAAAAAACAGAAACTTAAAGGTCTTCACAGCAACATAAAATAAAAGTTAGGTTTAACTTGAAACTGTGACAGAAATATAAGACTTAATGTAATAATAGTACTACTACTACTCATAATAAAATTATTATTAAAACATAATTTTTTAAGGAATAATCACACAATTTTTCTTCCATGTTTTAATTTTATCCGTAAACCTCTTGTGCAGCACTTTGCTTGAAAAAAATGGAAGGGTTTAATTTTCATTTGATTAAAAGATAAACTATCTTTTAAACTAGATCAACTATCTACCCATTATCATGAACAATGAGAAAAACATGAAAATTCAATAAAAAGGGTAAATCCTATTTAGTTACTTAAACGTTTACAGAATTATGGATTTAAATTATTGTATTTATGATTGTTTTGTATTTATATAGTCATTTTAATATAATGCCACTGCCAGGTTTTGTTAATTATTATAATTAAAAAACGTTTGAAAACGCAAGTCACAATCTGTGTGGTTCTACTCCGTCTGTTCACACACATCACTCATTATTTAAATAACAAAGCCATAATTATTCATAGCATGTGTCTGTCTCATCCTCAGACATGCAGGGACGACATAGTTTGCTTGAGTTAAAACATGTGACAGGCTACATAACTCCTAAAAATAAGGGGGGTTTGCTGCGATACCATAGAACAGGGCTACCCAAACTCGGTCCTGGAGGGCCGGTATCCTGCAGAGTTTAGCTCCAACTTGCCTCAACACACCTGCCTTTAAGTTTCTAGTATGCCTAGTAAGAGCTTGATTAGCTGGTTCAGGTGTGTTTAATTGGGGTTGGAGCTAAACTCTTCAGGACACCGGCCCTCCAGGACCGAGTTTGGACACCCCTGCCATAGAAGAACCATTTTTGGTTCCCCAAAGATGCTCTTAGTGAACAGTTCTTAAAAGAACCAACTGAAGAACATTCTGATAACCTAAAAAAGGCTCCAAGGATGCTAAAGGTTCTTCATGGAACCATAGATAACAATGAAGAACCTTTTTTTTTTTTTCTTTTTACATTTTGAACTCAGAACTCCTCACAACACTCCCTACACCTCTAACTGAACTCTTACAATATAACACAGAGGTACTGGTGTTTTGTTTTGATCCAAACGTAACATTCAGTCACTGTGTTGGTTGTGTCTCTCTACTTGTGACTCTCTAGAGATGACATGCTGTAGAGGGGAAAAAAACCTGAACAACTCAGCTCCGGGGCCAACAGGGACCTCAGTTGGAGACTTTACTGTCGCTGCTTCATGGTAACCATGAAACATAGAGCTACAGGTGATATTTTAGTCACCCTTGAGGGTCGCTTCTTCCTTTAAAGGGGTCATGAACTGCCTCTTTTCATTATTTTGTGCTGTTCTCTGACGTCCACTTATAATGTTATCAAAATCTTTACATCAAAACAACATCATAATTTAGAAGTAATAGGCATATTTTCTCTCCTGTTTTGACCCCCTTCATCAGAACGCCCTGTTTGAAAAGGCGTGGTGGATTGTAGACACGGAAGTAAATGCCCACTGCTATGATTGGCTAACAGTTGCGTTGTGTATGTTTGACAGCCTACATCCTTCATAGATGGACGCTGCTGTGATTTAGGTTAAAAACACATAAATACTCAGTACATATCAAACTATCTGTAATAACAGACAAAGCAATAGTGATCAAGTAATAAAAACGGTTACTCACACTTGTGTGGTGAGACATTATTGTCGGCACAGCAACGTCTTTTAGTTTCAATCTTTCTGAAAATTCTGCGTTGAATTGTGCCTTGTTTGTAAACGAATCCGCGGTAAAATGAAGTGAACAAAGGACCAAGTTCATACTGACGCGGTCTAGAACTTCATTAAAAATAAACTTCATCCACTCTTTCCTAATGTTGGGATCAGAAGGAAGGCAATGCAAAGACAGTGTCTTGTTGTCTTTATGTAACATATCCATTTTTATACATTGTTATGATGAGGTCTTCACCTGCATATACACTACCATTTAAAAGTTTGGGGGCAGTAAAATTACTTTTTGGAAGAAGTGAATTTTTTCAGCAAGATGCATTAAAATGATCAATGACAGTCAAGACATTTATAATGTGACAAAAGATTTCAAATAAATGTGGTTCTTTTGAACTTTATATTAAATCGAAGATTGCTGAAAAAAAATCCACAAAAATATGAAACAGCACAACTGTTTTCAACATTAATAATAATGTTTCTTGAGCAGCAAATCGGCATATTAGAATGATTTCTGAAGGATCATGTGACACTAAAGACTGGAGTAATGATGCTGAAAATTCAGCTTTGCATCACAGGAATAAATTACATTTTAAAATATATTCACATACAAAAATTGTAATAATATTTCACAATATTACTGTTTTTACTGTATTTTTGATCAAATAAATGCAGCATTGGTGAGCATAAGAGACTTCTTTCGAAAACATTTAAAAAATCTTACAGACTCCAAGTTTTTGAAAGGTAGTGTATCTAATAAATGGACTAAATACAAGTTTATCTGGCATTTTCAATAGTAGACAGAAATCATAAAACTAAAGCTTGCATGGTTATGTACATTTTAGATTTATGCAAAAATCCATCTCTGAAAAACACTTGTGCTATATAAAGCATCATGAGGGCTGTTATTCTAACATCAAAGAGTTCAAACATAAAAACACGGATCTGGACCCTTCAAAGGAATCGCAGCGGCGCATCATTGATCATCCCATTATGAAGTGTTTTTCTCATCTGTTCCGCAGAAGTGCCTGAACTCTCTAATGTGCAGATAAATGGCCGCTATCACCCCCCGTTTTTGACCCAAAATGAGCAAACACCTGTTTCCCACCCGTCTCACGAAGGCATGTGCTGAAATTCCACAATTACCTAATAGAGGCAGATTAATATAGTGAACCCCAAAAGAGTATCTGGACACTTCAGCTCACTTAAAATATATGAAATTTGTAAAAAAAAAAATCTAATGAAATAGCCAATCATAACTTAATTATTATTTTCAAAAAAAGAAAAGAAAATTACATCTGGACACTTCAGCTCACTTAAAATATATGAAATTTGTTAAAAAAAAATCAAATGAAATAGCCAATCATAACTTAATTATTATTTTCAAAAAAAGAAAAGAAAATTACAAACATGAATCAGGAATTTTTGAGTCATGAATGTCCACACATTTTCATAGGATTACCCATGTCTTAGCAAAACATGCTTTTTCATAAAAGGTCAAAAACGTAATGACCTTGACACACAAATGTCCAAAATTGTGTCAGAGTATGTATTGCAGACGACGAAGAACTCGCTTCTTGACCATTAATAAAGTACATTCTGAAAGTATTATTAATCATATTTTTTAAAAATTCACTGCTTATTTAATACTGAAATTATTTCTTAAATATTTTAATAATAATATTAAATTTATATGTGTGTGTGTGTGTGTGTGTGTGCATGTTTATGTGGTTTATGAGGACACAAATTTGTATAATAACAT